ATACTCAAAACACTTCTAAAACTCGATCTTTGGGATAGCCTTTAGTTCTTTCAGCAATACACTTTTAATGTCATCTATGCTTGCAAAACGACGGCCCTTTAAGGTTCTCTTTATTTTTGGGAATAGGAAAAAGTCGGACAGAGGCATGTCTGGCGAATATGGAGGCTGGGGCATCATTACAGTATTGTTTTTGGCCAAACATTTTGTTCAAAATTTAACAATTTTGGAACAAATTTTGCTGCCACGCGTTTCATACCCAATACATTCGAAAAAGTTTCATGAGATGAGCCAATCGATATACCAACATCATCAGCGACTTCTGTGATGGTTTGTAACCATTTCTTCCACTCTTTCCATGTTTTTATCGGTTGTTAATGTGCTTGTGCGTTCGGGGCCTTCGTCATCTTCAAAGCCTTCACGGCCATCTTGGAAACTCTTATACCACTTGTAAACTCTTGTTATAGCAGACTCACTCGCCTTTGTTAACATTTTACAGAATTTATTTCATTTTTTAAGCAAAATTTTGGATACAAATTCTTTGATCCATTTCTTTTAACGAACGAAAATCGCCGAGCTCATAAAACACGTCTAACCTTAGCGGCTGCCACAGTAAGTAAAAGTAAACAATGAAAACAGCGAAAGTTTTTATCATACTTCGGGGGCATGTATACCAACATAATAAAGAAAATTGTATGACAACCGAACCCTCCGAACCCACGAAATTTAACAATTCCCCTTATTTTCTGAACTATTAATTGAATTATCAGAAATAATAAAATTTAATCCATAATTAAAAATTTTTCACTCATCACTGAATTTCAGTTTAGTTGTTACAAACTTTTCTAAAAAGTCGGTATTATATACTCCCTTTTGAAATATGAAATTCTAAATTTAGCATTTTAATCAACGAAGTCAAAAAATTCTAAATACCAAGTTTCAAGAAGTTTAAAATTTTTTTTCAGAAATTTGTCCCCCAAATTGGATCCACCATTTTGAATTTTAAAAATCTGAATTCAGTATCGTAATCAGCGACATGAAAAACTTGGTAATACCAAACATTATGTGACCTTCATATTTTGGCCAGCTTTTTGGATATTCCGATTACTGTGCAATGCAGTGTGCATCGTCAAGGTCAATGTACTATTTAAATTCATACAATTTCTAATAAAACCTCACGGGTTACTTTGAAAGCAGCAATGGTTATTTTTGTCACCTTAATAAATAGTGCCAATGCTGTACATTAAATATTATTTCCAATAGTTTATTGTTGTATTTTTGTATTTAAGAAAATCTGTAAACGAAAATAACACCATCATCTTGTAATTTCCCTGTATAATTAAGCATTAATGTAATATGGCAAATTAAAAATTGCTCTTGTTTAGTTTATTGAATTTGTTGCAAAATACAATTAAACAATGTCAATTTTGATGCTGTAATTATTACGTATTAAATGGTACATTTACATTAGGAAATAGCAGCATTAACTCAACTTAAGGTAGTTTCGCTCTTCAGGGGTCCGGTATAAATAAATATTTTCCTTCGCTAAATCTAATTTATAGCGATTTCACTTTAATAGTACCAGTTATTTAATATCGTTAATGCACCGGCTAATCTCAAAATGTCATACGAATCTAGTCGGCCACTTTATGCCACGAATAAAACCGACAACCTTGCTCCCGATTAGATTTTGTCTTGGTTATGGTTTCACGATTTTTGTGCCCGGCACGTTTCCCAAGCGAGGCGATTTGATTTTCATGATTTCGGCGGTTCAGTTAACTTCAAAGATTTAAGAAGAAGAACAGATTTTAAGATTTGTCTTGATTGGATTATATCTGAATTTGTTGTTTGGGAAATGAACCGCTAGTTTTTAGAATCGTGAGATCGAATGAACGGAATAAAAAATAAGATGTTAATCACTCTAAATTAAGACGCATTGAAAATGTAAAGGAACTTAGAACAAATGATCTTGTTACTATTTTCATAAAAATGTAAGAAGAATCAAATTGTGTTTCTGATTTTGCATGAACATTTAAATTGGGGTGATTTAAAAAAATCGAATATTTTTTTACATGCGACACTGAAAAATTGGTTCTATATATAAAAAACGTCCTCCTTTGGCAAAGACAAAAAGCATGTTACCAAGACTTTAAACAATTTTTAAGATGGCTGCAGCGTTTTGAAAACTGCAAGATTCAAAACGCTTCGACGACCTTGAAGAAAGATCGTGATGTCACGATTTGTCAAGAAATACGAAAATCGAGAAAAAGTATATAGTACCAGAGGTGCACATAAAATTTAAAAAATAATATTTATGCTGTTAATGGTTTTATATGAGTAAAAAGAATTTGTTATGTTCGGACTATTATTTTTGCATATACTTCATTCGTAAAACTTGACAGGCCTATTATACCTACCAAAATCTTTTTTTTTAAGGCTTTGGTTGCATTTTTTCCTATTCTAAGAACTTATCAATATACCCTCGTATAAACTTATGTTTTATAAAATTAAAAATATAAAAATAAAATTTAACAACATTCACATTTTTCTTGTAAATCCTTCGTAAAAAAATGAGAATTCAAAAATAGTAATGGTATAATAATTTAAAAATTAGAATTTTGATATTTTCGGGAGATCATGGTCTAAAATATTCAGAAACCTATATCTTCTACCAGACTCTTTTTGTATCTGTTTATGGCATTTCAATTAACCGTTAAAAAACATTCGAAATCGTCTGAAAACGGCGTTCGTTAATCTTGGTTGGATTTTTGCATCTGCCGGCGCACAGTGGATCGAGCTCATATATGTTAGTGGACATACAGCAATTATGCAAAATTACTAACTTGATATCATTTTTTTTTTAAATGTCTCCCAAAAACTTCAAATTTGTTAAAAATAAGCATAACAATTTTTTTTGGCAACATACTAAACAGTACAGAAGGCGTTTTTCGTAAAGAATGTTTTTTGTTATTTTCCTTATTAAACTGACTATTACAAATTAAACAGCATAACTTCATACCTTAACAAAAACTTATATATTTTTTTATAGTTTTATTTTATATGATAACTAAGCTTGCAAATTGCCCGGTTAACTTAATACCAACACGTATTTAGTAACAACAATTTTTAAAATTTTATTGTTATACAATGCGTTACACAAATCTAAAGTTTATCTTGAGTTTAAAAAAAATGCTTAAATATGCATAAACTTCTTTTATGGCTGTTATGGAGTTCAAAGGTTATTTAAAACAAATGTACAGAGATTTGCCGCCACAAGGCGCCACTTTGGAAAATATAGATCATAGTGTCATGGAGCATATAGACCAGTGCAGAAGCCTTTAAAAATGGTAAAAAGAGAAAAAAAATAACAGTAGGATGAAACCCATTGGAAAAGGAGGGGAATATAATAAAAATTAAAGAAAAAATAAATTACGGGCGATCTGAGTTCGGGAAGTGGGAGGGGGGGTTTTAAGGGTAAAAAATGGTTTATCCCGGCAAAACTACAAGTCCTATGGAAAAAAGTTAAATGTCAAAGTTGTAGGTAATAAAAAGATCTACAACTTTTGTATTTACAATTTTTTCACATAACCTCAAAATTTATGTGAAAAATTCAAAAACCAAGTTTTTGGTTTTTTATTTTTATCTTTTTCAAAAAAAAAATTTTCCACGAAATTTGGTGAAAACTTACCTTTTTATGTCCCAAATACACTGTAATTTATTTGATTTGAAATATTTATTATTTCGCCTTATTTTGACTTAATATCAAAAAAGCACCCTAATTTTCAATCGAAAATTCTCGCGTCAAAATATCAGCTTTTTTCAAAAAGTCGGTGTGCTTTTTGTTCGATGAACTCTCTACTTTCTGATGGTGTAAAAAAATATACATTACTATGGTGAATGTTCTCAGAAAATACAAAAAATATTATAATGAATAACGTAATCAGAATGAAGTTTCTAATTAGATTTAAATTCAATAGTATGATTTACATGTATTTTTATATTTTATGAGATTTTCTGACATAAATGTTATTAGAATTTAATAAATAAACTTTTTAACTAAAAAAAATTGCAACAATCACATTTTTTTGATGAAATTGTACATAATGATTAAAATAAATTTTCGAATTCGAGTTTTTTTCGTTATTCATTATAATATTTTTTGCATTTTCTGAGAACATTTACCATAGTAATGTATATTTTTTTACACCATCAGAAAGTAGAGATTTCAACGAACAAAAAGCACACCGACTTTTTAAAAAAACTGATATTTTGACGCGAGAATTTTCGATTGAAAATTAGGGTGCTTTTTTGATATTAAGTCAAAATAAGGCGAAATAATAAATATTTCAAATCAAATAAATTACAGTGTATTTGGGACATAAAAAGGTAAGTTTTCACCAAATTTCGTGGAAAAAAATTTTTTTTTGAAAAAGATAAAAATAAAAAACCAAAAACTTGGTAAACCTTTTCTATAGTGGACCTTGGTGTATTAAAACGCCTTGTATATCAAGTAACTAGACTTTATATTTACTTTTGTAAATAACAACGTTATTTAATTGATAAGTATTTATTTTAAACCTAAAATGTCCCCATCTTCTCACACTTTGGTGCTATGTCCACAAATTCCTATCTATCGATCCACTGTGCGGCGGTGCTCCCGCAAGAAGAACGAAACTTAGCAGGAGGAGAAGAAGAAGGAGAAGAGAAGAAATGGACGTGGAGGAGAGTCATTGGCTCGGTGACCTTGTCTTAACCCGCGAGTACCTCTGGCCCGTTGACGCGCCACACCCAGTGTTGCCAACCGAACCGACTGCATAAACCATAATGTGTTGTGTGCAAATATTGACTATTGAGATATGGTTGGATTTTTACAAATGACCAATATTAACTTTTTAAAATATTTGTTACAAAATTTTAAATTTGGCTCTTCAACTACAATTTTTTATTTTTGTTTATTTTTTTATTAAAAAAAAATTAATTTATTTATTAAATAATAATATTACCTGGAAAGTCGATCTCAGTGTGGCTACAGAACCTAAAAAAATATTAATATTAAAATACAATAAATAGTAAAAATAAAAATATTTCGTCAATAATTATTTTAGGACCAATTTTTATTAAAATATTGTATACATTAGTATATTAAGTATCAAGTTTTATAAACGCCATTTTAGTTACAAGTTTTATTAGGCACGAGTAAAACTTGCGAGCAAGTGTTTAATAAAAACGTGTGTCTAGAGAAGTTTATAAAACAAGTTGCATACTTTACTACGACGAACAAAAATAAGAATTAAAGCCAATTTTAATTCATTAATTTTTAACATTTCACGAATTTATCCTAAGTTTTATAAACGCCATTTTAGTTACGAGTTTTATTAGGCACAAGCGAAGCTTACGAGCGAGTGTTTAATAAACACGAGTGTCTAGAAAGGTTTATAAACGAGTTGCATACTATAGGTACTTTATCTACGACGAACACAAATAAGAATTTAAAGCCAATTTTATTTGTTAAACATTTGATATCTGTCAACTTGTAATGGATTTAACCTCACTTTTCCCTAATTTATAATAAAGCCAACTTCAGCCCGTGACTAAAATGCCCAAAAGCCACTGTTGCTAACTTCAGCCAGTGACTAAAACGCCATAAAGTCACAGCTAGTCAATGAAGGAGTAGATAATAGTATATTATGTATCAAGTTTGATAAACGCCATTTTATAGTGTATAGAAAAGTTAATAGGTGCATACTATACTTTTTCTACGACAAATACTTATTATTATCTTAAAATGATTTAAATCAAAAAATTTTATAGAGCGCCATCTATGAAACAATAGGGGAATCTGTGTGTCACCGTCAACTATCAAATTTTATAAACACAGATTATAATCGAAATGTATTTCTTGAAAATTGACAGTTTTTTCTAGTGAAAGTAAAGAAAATGCTTTATGCGCACTTTACAGTGAAGTCCGTGCCCGAATTTAAGTTATAGTTTACTGCCAGCGAAATTAAAAGGTCAGTACAACTTTTCAAATATTGGCGTTGAGAAACTATTTAATACTTTTGTATTGAGATAATAAAATAATTTTCACATTTAGTATTATTTTACAAGAAATGCACATTATTTTAACGATTGTATGACATTTGACAACTGTCAACTAACTTAAAACTAACTTCAGCCCGTGACTAAAAACCTGTTGCTAACTTCAGCCCGTCACTAAGGCGCCATGAAGCCACACTTAGTGTCATGGAAACATGTACGATAAAGGGCGTTTTAAAGGTGGGAGTAAAAAAAAATATTATATTATTTATAAGTTGAAATTACCATATTATTAATCTTAACAAAATGTCATTAAAACTATTGTTTTAATAAACCTAGTTAATTTACTGTTTTAATAATTTTCAATTTATTTTAATGTTGTACAATTTTTTATTAATAAACGATTAAACTGTTTTAAACCTCTTGTGCAAATTATAACTAATAATAATACGATTCTCTGTAAAACCCGTTGAATTTGTAAAACCAATAAATATTGGTTTCCAGAAAGTCATGGGACAAACATAATAATATTTCAACGGCTTGCGACACAATTGAGTTAACTATCACAGACATGTGACGTATAATTTAACATTGGAATTAATAAAGTTTAACTTACTGGACATTCTTCGAAACAATTCATTAATGAAATATTTTAATACCCAATAAAGTGGTTTGTTCGCACTATAACGTAATGTAATGGGGGGGTTTTTTGCTTACGTCATGCATTATGGGTATTATTAAAAATACATTTATAAAAATGTTATGACTTATTTGAGAAGGATTTGCTTTCACTAAATAATCAATATAGTCGAACAGTTCATTATCGATATTTGATTTGCAATTACTTGTTGCGAAATTGATGGTAAAAAATTATTACTCAATGTAGTTTTCTTCAAAAATGCATTAAATTTAGCCTATCAAGATAATAAGCGTTAAATTGTAGGTATAAAGAATAAAAAAGTTCTGAGTATGGTTTTATTTATTTTATTATATTTTATTTTGGGCCCGATGATTCCAAAAATAGCATATTTAACGTAAAAATTTCGAATAAAATGGTTAAATTTTTCCACAGGATAAAATAGTTTTTTGGAATATCTTAAAAATAAGATCCAAGCGAATAAATTGGGTGTCATTTTTGGAATAAGCGGGCCCAAATATAAGGTAAAACTTTGCGCCAAATAGATTTTTTTTCTGTGTATAATAACCACCAGTGTTATAAAATAAAAAAAAAGTATGAACCATATTATAACTGTTGTCTAAAATGCCCTAAATACTCCAAATGTTAAGATTTTATTAGGACAGTCTAAAACCTTTTTCAAACTGTCAAAACTATTTTGCAATAAAAAATACATAACATAGTTTTTCAAAAATGAATTAAAATTTAAAATAATAGGCGTTAAATTGGGTTACATTAAAATTTAACCAAAATATGTATTATTATTATGCAAACTACAAAAAATTATGAAAAATTATGGTCATAAACAACAGTTTTACTCTATATAGTAAAGCACTATAGACTATAGTATATATAGTATAGTAAAATGTCTTTGTTCTTATAATTTGCATAATTATCATATGTTAGTTGTTTTAGTAAATAAATATAATGTCAAATTTAAGGCACCGTAACATTAATCCAAAACAAAATTAATGACTTTCCTTAAAACCCATGTAACTTGTAAACCATATAAACACAAAATTATACGGTATCTATTAAAATTATCGAGCAAAAAAGGGACCACCATTAATTTGGACTTTTAAATCAGTAAATCAAAATCTGGTTACATAACATTTTTGGTATTTAAATTTGATCAATTCTGGTAGTTTATGGATTTACTATAAAATAGTTTAAAATTTTTGCATATATCACAGATAAATAAAGGTCAGCTGCCTTATTTAAATTGTTTATAAATTGACTGGTAAAAATTTAATTACTGTTTTAACACAAATTTGGAGTGCCTTAATTTATGATCCAAGATTGCGATCTTTTCTAAAATTTGTTAATAATTGCTTCTGGTTGACAAAAAAATAATTGTAGACAAGCTTTTTAATGATTTGGTAGTTGTAGTTTTTAAAATATACTGCCAGGGTGGTTTATTTTAAAATTTGCGACTATAGAAAATAATCTCTATATAAAGAAATAAACGACATTTCATTGCACCTAGTGTGCTGTGGAAAATGCCATGCCCTGATCAGCGGCGTAACTAGAAAAAGTGCCGCCCGGGGCAGCAGTGGCTGTCGCCCTCATGTTTTTTTTTTGGGGGGGAAGAGAGGTTAGGTTAGAAGTCAGTTTTGAGGACCGAACGCAAAATTAAAAATATATAATTATATATATAACATATATATAACATTAAATTGTAATATTTTAGGAATTAAAAACAAACAAAAATTCTTAGACCTAGGTAAAGAAAAACAACAAATAAAATGTGCTTTAACATAATTTATATGAAAAAAACAAAGAGATAAATTCTCAACCTTATGAAAAAGTACCTACAAAAAAAACTTAAACCTGAGTAAAAAAATAAATAAAAATGTTTAAATATTTAGAATACCGGTCTTGTTTCTATTTTTTGGTAGCTTTATTTGATTTGGAATATTTTGGGAGTAATTGTATAAATCTCAAATCTATTGGAATTTGAATTATATTATTTCGAAAGAGAATATTTAATTATCAAATATTTTTTTTATTTTTATATTCTGTCTTTCAGTTTTTTTCGCATTTTCTCTCACGATTTTTGCCGCCCCAAGAAGTGCCGCCCGGGGCGGACCGAACCCCCGCCCCCCCTAGTTACGCTACTGGCCCTGATTGGTTTATTGTTTTCTATAAAAATCATTTTCTATGAAAAGTAAAGTCACAATTTTCAAGAATTTGTACACCTTCTAATACAAACTTAGTGGCATAAATTTAGGAGCAGATTAAGCAAGTAAAAATAAGACACGAGGCTAAATAAATATTTTTCCTAATTTCTTATGTTTCTTAGATACAGGGTGATAAAGTGTTACTTATCATATCAGTTTTTTTAATTAACTTCTACTATGGTAGACTTGGAAAGGTGATATTTTGCGAACAGACACTTACTACCAATACACATATTCACACATAATTACATTTGTTTGAGTGAACACAGTGTCGTAGAAACGGGGGTTGCTCTTAGCTTATTGTCCCATACAAACTTTGAGGTTAGGTTTTTATAACATTTGATGCAATTTTTCGATTACTCAGTTCGCCTACTATTAAAAAGGTGTACCTCTCAACCTTCGGTAAAATAAACCGAAAAATATTTATTTAGATTTTCGTCTTATTTTGACTTGCTTATTCTGCTCCTAAATTTATGCCACTAAGTTTAGGGACACCTTGTATATTAAAATTAATCTTCTTTGATTGAGGCACCAAAAGACACTATTTAAAAATATTATTGTTATTTAAAAACATAATTATTTTACATACATATGTTGGATGACTCAGTAAAAGGCATTTTACTTAATAAATTTATCACGTATATATTTTATCGCATTTTTAAAGTGGGTCATTTTAACGAATATGTGTTATTTTTAACAGATGTTCAAGGAGTTTATTAAACTATTATTAAAATACATATTGAAAATAACCGTTTTGTAGATGGACAAATACAATTTATGTGCATTATATTTTGATTTATATTCTTTAAAGTGTCTTACTGATCCACATCTAAAAGTATACCTAGATCAACTGACATTTTTACCTCTTTTTAAATGAAAAGAGTTAAAATTGTCAATTTATTTATTATTAAAAGTTTTAATGGAAGTACCTACATTTTTATGTTTGAAATCTTTTTATTAACAAATATTTATGTTATTTTAAAAATTTAGCAAAGACTGATTAAAAAATCTCCATAATTTCAATGACCTGTCAAAAGCTATATCTCTTTCAGAATAATTAAATGTATTTCAGAATAGTCAAATGTTTTTCAGAAAGCGTTAAATGTTATTCAGAATTATCAAATGTATTACAGAAAGCCTTAA